AAGGAAGGAAGGGGATAGGAATGGAGGAGAGAGAGAAGGAAGATTAGAAGGAGTGCAGATCAAAACGTAAGAGTAAAAGTAGTTGTTAAATTGGGAAACAAATTTAGAACCCATGTCTGAAAAAAGGAAATGTGCTCACGTTCCGCACTTGCGCAAAAACTGGTGAGCAGTAAGGAAATTTTTCCATCAAGAAAGATACTTTAGTGGGCGGTAGCTAGAAAAAGGTTGACTACCACTGGTCTACAGTAACAATGAATCCCACCATTTCTTTCTATCTTGTGGACTTTGATTTGTCTGCTCTGAATAATCACTTCAGACCAGAGTGGCATCTGCAGCCAACCTCCCTTAAGCTGCCAAGATGAAGAGTTTAGAAATAGCAAAGAGATACCACACGCTGTATTAACAGAATGACAGAATAACAGAGTTGGAAGAGACCTGTGAGGTCTTCTAGTCCAACCCCCTGCTGAAGCAAGACTGTAGACCGTTCCAGACAAATACTGTCCAGTCTCTTCTTAAAAACCTCCAGCGATGAAGCACGTACAACTTCTGGAGGAAAACGATTCCACTGATTCAGTGTTCTAACTATCAGGAAAATTCTCCTTATATCTAAGTTGGATCTCTCCTGGATTAGTTTCCATCCGTTGCTTCTTGTCCTGCCTTCAGATGCTTTGGACAACAGGTTGACCCATCGTTATGCCATGCCAACATGAGATGCCCTCCACCTCCATCTTTGAGGAAGGCAAAATTGCTGTTTTTACATTGTATATACCCTGTGTGTCCTCAGACGCAGAAAAACACGGTGGCACAGTGGTTAGAATGCGGTACTGCAGGCTATTTCTGCTGACTGCTGGCTGACTGCAATTTGGCAGTTCATATCTCACCACGCTCAAAGTTGGCTCAGCCTTCCATCTTTCCAAGGTGGGTCAAATGAGGACCCAGATTGTTGGGGGCAAGAGGCTGACTCTGTAAACCTCTTAGAGAGGGCTGTAAAGCATTGCGAAGCGGTATATAAGTCTAAGGGCTATTGCTATTGCTGCAGGAGGTATGATGTTACTTGATTTATCCTTATGGGGCATCTTTAGAGGTGAGTAGCCAGATGTTCTATGGGTGTTCAAAGCCTATTCAGGGAATCAAACTCATTGGCCTTTATGCTTTGGATAACTATGTTAAATTTTAGAGGGCACCTAGGTCTGGCAATCTATACTTCTTACTCTGGGTTTGAGCCCATAAGACATGGTCCATGAACATCTTGACTGCACCTTCCCTTCATGGACCTGAACATGGACCTGTGGAGAATCTATGGTGATCTCCATAAGTTTGCTGACTTGAGACTGAACATCTCATGTTCCTTTGGCCTGTCTTCATAAGACATGTCCTCAAGCCAATCAATCAATCAGAATAGAGTTGGAAGAGACCTTGGAGGTCTTCTAGTCCAACCGCCTGCTCAAGCAGGAGACTCTATCGCAAAGAAGCTTCCATGTCTTCTTGTCACCTTCCCTTGAATCTTCTCCAAACCTTCTCAAAAATAATCGTACTAAATTCCCCAGGTGTGGTGTCATCAAGGCAGAATAGAGGGGCAGGAGAACCAGAATTGTGATAGTCCTTCTAGCAGTTTTGACCAAGATCTGGCCCAGTTGACATGGGTGAATGCAAAGGGCAAACCCAACCAATGATCTGCTTCACCCACCATGGCTTATTCATCAGCAGGGGAACCTTGGCCAACCTTCTCTTTCCACCCCTACCCCTACCTCCACAGGCTCTGTGGAGAAGACCTCCACAGCCACCAAAAGAAGACTCCCACCCACCTTCCAATGACAACCAAGGAGAACCACAGGTTTGCAATGCAGAATCACTTTTATTCAAGTGCCAAGAAGGAAGATTAAGATAAACCATCAGATGCGCCAAAGCAGTCCAAAGCCATCCACGTTTCCTGTTTGAGAAATAATTTTAGAGGGCAGGGAAGAGGCAAGGTCCTAAATGTTCATAGATCCTCTTTCCTTCAGAACTTCATTCAAAAACACTTCCCTGGTCAATCTAGCAGGGGGCTCATCTTACAGGAAGGCATGCTACTATCTGCTGAAGGTAGCCAAGAGACAGGCGAAAGAGACTTGTGAAAGCTAGATGCAGGCCAACGTAGGACCAAGACCTGCCTTAGCCAAATCGTCTAAAATCCGTATTTGGTCATGGAGAGTCCTAGTTTGCTTAACAGGGGAGGTTGCAAGGATTGCAGAGGCTGCCGCGGCGACCGAGACGTCCCAGGCGGCCTCCGTAGACGCCACCAACGCGTCCGAAGCCTCCGAAGCCTCCGGTACCTCCGATACCTCCGGGGGCGCATGGGGTGTTGCCTCCGACGGCCACGGGCTCGCAGCTGGCAGACAGGATGGGGCCGGGGATGGTGATCACGAATGCAGGGGGCTGGATGGTCACCTCGGATGGTGGGATCTGGTTGATGGGTTTGGGGATGACTCCGGCCAGGGTGCCCAGGCTTCCGGAGGACTCGGCCAAGGCGCCAGCTCCGAGGCCGTAGCCCAAACCATATCCGAGACCGCCATATCCGAGACCTGCAGATCCGAGACCTGCAAATCCGAGACCGTCATATCCGAGATTGCCATAGCCAAGAGGTCCGCAGCCAAGGCCTCTGGAACCAGCTGATCCGAAGCCAACCACTGGGGCGGAGGCGCAAGAGGGCACGGCACAGGAGGGTCCACAGTAAGGCATGGTTGTTTGGATGGAAGAGCTGTTGGAAGAAGAAGGAGAAGGAGCATGGGTATTGTGATTCACAGACGGAGCATGAATTGGACATGGACAGGTGGCCTTCAACATACAGCTTTTCCTGCTATTTAAATGAAATGCAGGTTACTGTAACTCTCACTCTAAGACAAACATATTTTCTGAATGCCCAGAGATCTGAAAGGTCAGAGCAAAACAATTTTCTAGGCCCTTCCTTCCTTCCTTCCTTCCTTCCTTCCTTCCTTCCTTCCTTCCTTCCTTCCTTCCTTCC